CCTCTCCTTCCCACACTAAACATGGCCCTTGAAAATCCAGCAGGGAATGCTCCCTGCATACATGCACATCGTGCTTCTCCAGAGGGAAAAAATATCCCAAATTCTCTCCTTCCTGCTTCAAAGGTGCTGCAGGTTCTGCGGGTTAAAGCCACATTCTGAGCATTAGTGGTGTCTTGGGGAGATGAAAACTGAAATTCTGCCTGTTGGGGACACACATCCCAGTTCCCAAAGGCTTGCTCTCACACAGCCAGCCATGGTTTAGTTGTCACTGACTTGGGGAAGGAGGGAATTTGTCCACATCCTCCTGTGCCACCAGAGCAGGGCACCCATGTTTGTGCTCTTAACCCACAAGAAAATTAACCCTGCATATTTGCCAGATACAGAACACTTCACCTAAAGGGCTCCCAAAAGTGATTCGCTGATGGAATGAATGCCTGGGGGTGTTTGGAGCAGAGCAAAAGCCCCAGGATGGAATCTGAGTCATTTGAAGCAGGAATTGCCGAGGATGGAGCTCAAGCCTCTGTGATACAGACAGTGCTGAGGGGTGACAGGGGATGGCAGCCCTGCCAGGAGCTCCCCGCCCTTCAGGTGAGATGCACAGGGCTGCTCTGCTCCCTGCATCGACACCAGCTGCAGAGTGATGCCATGCTGAGTTTGCAGCCCTGATCCAAACATGTGGGAAAGAGGGAGGAAAGAACTGCCATGAAACCCACCGAGAACAGCATCAGGGTTTCCCAGAAAGCCCTTCCCTTTAACTGGTTCACCATCATTTTTAAATGCAGGTTTTGAGCTTTCTTTGGAATCTAATTAAAGCCCCAATCAGTTTACAGGATGAAAAACTTTCCCAACACCAGCATATCAAACACGCAGAAGCAACAGTTCTGCTCCTCTCAAAGCAAGCCCGACTCTCCTTTGCTCGTGTGCGGGCACCACGCTGAGTAAAAAGGAAAAATCACGTTCTTCATCAGCACTTCACAGCGAAATTTAAGTTGTCAGCTCCTCATGGGAAATCCTCATGCAACACCCAGGCCGTCCCTGTGAAGCGGAGCTTGGTGAAATGTTTAATTATGCCTCGGAACAAACACACAGCGCTGCGTGGGGGCTGCGAGGAGCCATCTGAGCCTGCACGCTAAGCTGCTCTGTCCCAGAAGCAGCTCCTTCAATAGCATTTGCTTATCAAAAATAATTAGAGGTAGGAATGCTGGAACTGCGATTATGAAACAAATGGCAAATCTATTTGCTGAGATGAAATGTATTGAAAGATACATCGAGACACAGCTGGAGACTGAGGTGATACCACAAGGATAACAACTCGAGATCCAATTTCATCTTTCATGATTAAAAAATGAGCAAGAAAGTGTTTTATGAAAAGTGAAGGTTAACAAATGCTCCTTCACAAGCAATGACGACAGTTTATCTTTTGAAACAAATGATCAGGCTCCGGTCTGCTCTCAGCTCCTGGAGCACGTTGGAAAAGATTTTTTGCTGCAAAGCCACTGAGGGTCAGCACACAGGGCTGGCAGCCCACCGTGCTCCCAGTGCCTGGGGCAAAGCCAGCTCCAAAGGAATGCTGCCACAGCAGGGAAGGAGCTGGATCTGCTCCTGCTGTCCTGACCCAAGTGCATCCCTAGCCCCAGTGACACCTGTCCCCAGGAGGGGTGGCACAGGAGGGTCCCAGAGCTGCAAATTGGCAACAGAATACTCCAGGAGCCCTCGGACTGAATTCCTCTGACTGTTCTCCAGGTAAAGCGTTCCCTTTATGGTGCAACTACAGTGTGAAGTATGAAAAGTTATTTTTAGGAATGAGTTCTGCTAAAATGTGACTAGTAGACCAAACACTGCGAGCTGTTTAACAAGGAAGAAAAAAATGTGGATAGAGACTCTAAAACTATTAATGTGAAGGAATTATTTAATGATGGGAATGGCTAATTCTCCAAGAAGAAAAATTCAAATTACCAGGAGGGAACAGACAGTAGAGAAAATCGTGATGGCAACTTTAGCTCCTTCTATTAATAGAACTAATAGTTAAAATTGAGAGAGAAAGAAATATTATGCGTAGAAGCCAACACAAGATGTTTTAAAGCAAAAAAAATTGCTTTATACTTCTACAAATATGGGACTGAGTAGCAAAGACCTTATTGCTATCCTGGGAGCCTGAAAGGGGAATAGACCCCAGGAGTTCAGCAGAACCCCCCTAGAAACCCCAGTATAAACTAAATTTACTTATTTGTAAGAATACAAACCACAATAGCTGTAAAGCTGCCTAAACAGATGAAGGCTAATTAAAAATGCTGTTACAGAATTAATGTTATTCCTTCCTAGCAGAATCTTCATCACATTTCCCAGGATATGACAATTCTACTGTTCTTCCCAACAAAAAACAGTCAAAGCTCTAATACCCTAAATTAAGAAAAAGGGAAAAATATTTTATGTGAAGGCCACATAATTCTTCAAAGTTTAACCATGTGGCACAAATAGCACAGAACTCCCCCTCAGCAGGCCAGGAATTATCCCAACCTGAAAAAGGGAGACAGAGGCATTACAAGACACCTTTAGGCACAGAAGTTTGTTCCAGAAACCACATTTAACTGGTGCTGTCACAGAAGCTGCATGGCCATGGCCAAACACGAGTCTCAGCTGTTGCCTTCCATGGTTCTTGTCATGAATTTCCCTCTCTTCACAAAGCTGGGACAATTCCTGGCTTATTTTCCATCTCCAGCACAGGCTTCTGGTGTGCCCCAGAAAATTCACATCATCCAGGGGCAGGTGGGAAAATCACAGATTAGGCTTTTCCACCTTGAAACAGAATTCTTGGGATAAACCAAGGAAAGAAAGAAAGAAAGAAAGTGCTCTACAACTCTAGTGATAAAAAAGTCCTTCTAAACCTAACAGCATCAATACTGCTGTCCTTTGGCACTTTAACATGCCTGGTTTGATGCCACACATTATTTTTGTTATGAAACTAGAATAAACCAAAATCAATATGGTGCTTATTAAATGGACAAAACATGGGGTAGCTCATAGGCCTCAAAAAGCAAATGCAAATTGGAAACACTGTCCAGCTCAGTATTCCTAGCAGGGCTCTGCAACATATAGAATAAAGCTGAATATCAATCTTCAGGGTCAAATAAAAAAAAAATAAAAATCACAAACACAACACTTTTTCAAGACCAGAAATGACAAAGTCAAGTGATAAATAATGAAGTGGAGGATGACAGATGGAGAAACCTGGATCACTTGGCAAGGTGGGTGCAAACAAGATAAAGGAAAGACAATGTATAAACAAGATAAAATATAAACAAATGCTTCAGAAAATAATGCAGCTGTTCTTCCTGGAAAGAAAACTTTTCCTGGAAATAGATCTCCTAAGAGATTTTGGGGGTCCTTGTGATAGTGTCTAGCATGACCCAATTGTGATACTGTGATGAAAGGCTTCCTCAGAAAGGGAAAATCAAGAACTGAAATATTCTTCACTGACACATCAGAATTATGTCTACAACACAGAAAGAGTATAGCTGAGCTGAAGAAGAACCAAAATGCTAATTTGGGGGTGGAAATCTCTGAGTTGAACTTGAACTTTCTGGAGCTCATTTTTTTTAGCTTAGCACAGACAGGGTTAAGGATGGTTCCAGAGCAAGTGACTTGTGACATTAGTAAATGCTCAGATTTAAGGAAAGTACAAAAATTATTTAATTATAGCGAAGATAGTTAACTCTTTCCTCTTCAAACCCTTTCCATTTCTCCAAAGGAAAAATGTTCACCCTTACCCAAGCTCCTCCTTCCTCACTTACATTTTTGGGGACACACCCCACCTAACCAGATGTGGAGCTGCAAGTGCTGCCTGCGTGGCAGAATTTCAGCTGGGATATTTCATGTGTGCCCTCAAGAGTTTCAGCTCTAAAACCCTGCTGTGGGCAGGATGCTCCTGTGCACTGACAGACTCAGTCCTTCTGTCTGGCTCAGCGGTTAATCTCTCATCTTTAGAAGGAGAAACTTGTTTGTTCAAGTTTACTTGGAAAATATTCACTGAAGATTTTCAGAAATATGTTTTACATTGAAACACACGAAGCATCTGAGCACTGACACTAATCTGGGCAGCCCCTGAACACTGCAAGGTTAGAAGGCATTTTACCTCCCTGTCTTACAACAGTGTGTTGGGTTTGTTTTGCTTCAGATGTTTTGCTGGTTGAGCTTGCCTGGGAAATGCTATCAGTGCTTGAGGAAAAATAAAAGAAAAGATACACATTAGCTGAAGATCAAGTACATTCTTCCAAAGGAAAAACAAAGCAAAACTCAGAGTGTTTTGCAGTGTGACCCTCATAATAATGTTTGCATTAGGCCTGCTGTCTTATTAATATTCATTTATGTTTGCATAAAGTATTTTGCACAAAACCCCCGTACACACCAGGCAAAAAATCCCACGTGTTGTTATGTATTGCAGACACACACTGACAGAATGGTTCTAACTCTGAGCTAGTGATGGTCTCTGCTGATTTCCTCAGACAGAAGCATTTTTTGAAGTTGATCTGTAATTTTTGAGTTTTGCTCTGTTTAGTTACGGAAGAGACAAGAGCCCTTTGGGAGGAAATTTACTCAAGACTAGAAATCTGTCTAAAAGCTGTGACTGAAAAATGAAAGGTAAAGGTTTGGTCAGGTCTCAGTCAACAGGCAGCAGCACAGCATATGCAAGGAGAATGAAGAGTTTTTCCTAATTTACTCAGCAAGCAGAGTGTCTTGTTAGCCCATAATAATAATAATACTAATAAAAAGTCATGACCTCTGCGCTGTATCCTCACGTAAAACCAGGATTTCACCTCCCAGACTACAAAATATGCTAAGTGCAAACAAGACAGCCCTGCTTAGACCATGGAAGAAACGCCAGTCTCTTCTGGGCAGGGCTGGCCATGCACAAGCACGTGTTTTCACATTTTTAGGAAGCCAGACAGCGGCAGCACGCTGAGAGGCTTCGGGAAGAGCCCGCAGTACGTCCCTCTATTTACCTCAGGTAATCTCTGCGGCAGAGAATGAGATTTGCTTTTGTGTAAAGAGTTGATCCAACCTCTCCAAGACGACAGTCACAGCAGGCACACTTTAGACAGTCTTCATGCCAATACTTATCCAGAGCCTTCAGCAGGTAGCGGTCCTTGATCTTGCGGTTGCAGCCGGCGCAGCCCTTCTGCTTCCCTTTGGGTTGTACGGACAGCATGGGCACACCTGCAAGGCAAACACAGCACTTCCTTCAGGGCACATCCCAACAGCAGCTCGGGGAGGCTGTGGGCAGAGCTGGGAGCAAAGCCTGCTGCCACTGCAAGGAGCTCGCTTTGCACAGAAAGGAATCCTGACTTCACTTGCTGCCCTTTCTTCACAACGCACCAGAATCTTTCTAACCAACACCTTGCAGCAGAATAAACTGGCTGAAATGTCAACATTTATTTTTTCCCCTCATTACCCGTACCCCTGTGTTGTTAATTACCTGCCACAGGCAATTAAAAAGAGCTGGAGGGCCATCACTGTATGCACTCTCCCAGTCCAGTGTCTTGGCTGAATCGAGCTTTATTGGGAAGGGAGAGGAGCAAGTATAAAAAGATGTGGTATGCCACTGTTTTTCCTCTCTTGTGAATCCTGTGGGTGACAGAGGCCTGACTGAAAGCCAGAGCAGGCCAGGGGCTGCTCCAAAAGAAATTTGATTCAAAAGTCCTTGAGGACTGCTGAGAATAACCCCACCAGTGCCCTTCTGCCACTAATGAAGCCACATTCCTCAAACAGAAGTTTTCCTCCTTCTCTTATATCACTGGAGAAGGTAGCAAAAAGCCAGGAGTTTTATCCTTCCTGGAAACCCCTGCTGGGATGAGATAGCTGGGTATGAGGTGGTGACAGCACACTCAGCTCAGGAGGCTGGGGGGGACTTGCTGTGGTCACCTTCCCCTCAGTGCTGTATCCATCTTTTTCCTTTTCTCCAAGCAGCCAGTGCCTGCCATGGTGAGCACTGTGATGCCCATCACCCTGCTCAGTTTAAGAGCCAGGCAGGAAAGGACATTATGGAATCCATAGGCAAGGTGGAAAAATAAACAAGGATTGTACTGTGGGTGAGGGACAGGACAGGAAATGATGAAAGAAGATATTAACTCACTGAGATGCCAGAATTCCACTTGTTCTAGAGCCTTGATTCAATTTGTTATGATTTTTATTTTTACTGGTGTCAGTCACTAAAAATGACAACGCTGGGCCTGTAACAAGCACACTGTGAGCTTAACCAATGCAGAGATGATGAGAAGGGACACTGGCACAGCAGCAGGTGTCACTGCTTATATACTCTTACACAAAGTTAGTCTAGCCTTTCTGTAGGAAACACTGGATGTCCCAGAAAGCAGCAGCTTGATAATAGAATTATTAACAGTCCCTTAAGCAGAGAGGACCGAGCCAGTGCCACTGCAGTAAGTGACATTTGCTGCTTTCCTTAAAAGCCAGGGTGACCTGAGAGTGGCTAATGGTCAGCACATGTAAACCCACCACTCCCACAGTAATAATTGCTTTGTCAGAGCCTCGAGCAGACGACAATAGCACTTAAGACACCTCCACACAAACAGCGGGGTATTGATCCATCTGTAATCAAAATGGTCTCAGCAGCACAGAGACAGACCAAGTAGCATTCAAAAACCCTAAAGGCTTAAAGAACCCTCCTCCCCTCTGCTGCAGCACACTCCAAACCAGCTTGCCAACTACTCTACAAGCAAACTCCTGACACCAGTGACAAATCTACAATAATTTAGTGAAAGCCTGAATCTGTATTACACTGCCACATATGCAACCTGTAACATTCCCAAGAGAAATTCTATATACAAAGAGAAACACACACGTTTGGAAAGAGGGACAAGACAGGGAAGCATCAAAACGGGATTTTGCTTCAGGTGCCAGAGGTCAGACTGCAGAAATCTCATGCCTGGGGAGAGTTTCTTACAAGAACGAGGGAAGTGGCCCTGTGGTTGTAGACACACCTTTGTTTATTTGTTTGTTGTTTTTTTTTTTTTAAATCCAAAATACATTTCAATAGCAAAAAGAAGCTTCAGTTTTCGAGTAATTTCCATGCTCTTCCCGACTCCACTCCAGGAGAACTGCACATTGTGAGAAGAGTCTGCCTTGCTGAGAGGCAGAGAAGGACGAGCACGTGAATCTGCATTGGCAAGCTGTGCAAGATCAGTACCAGTGATGAAAGAAAATAGTTCACACCTATGAAAACTAGGACCTCGATGTGAGAATTATGTTTTTAGATAGGAGCCCCAGACACCAGCAAGTCATTATTCACCCCCCAAACAGGCTCTCTAAATGTGTAGCCTTAGAGGCAGAGGAGGATTTCTCACAAGGAAGGGGGGTCATCCTACAATTCTTTTGCAAGGTTTGTGTAGGTAACACGAGGATCTGCATCTGGAAAGACACGGCTTCCATATAACCAGCACACCTTCAACCCAAGAGAGCTGCTGCATGGGTGGGGTTTGAGATCAGCTCTGTGGTTCAGAAATACACGATCCTCAGCCAGATGTGGACGTCCCAAGGCCACACTTTGGAAAGCAGTGCCCTTTCAGAGGTACACTGCCCTCACTCAGAGACAGGGTACCAATGCAGCAGCAGCAGCATCAGCAGGGATGAAACCCCATCTGGACCATTAGGAGAGGCTGGTTTGATCATTTAGGGCAGGTTAGGAGGGTCTCCTGTGGCCAGCAGGCATGGATGGCTGAGGGCTGACTGCAGGGGCAGTTCTTGCTCCATCTGTGGACCTGGCAGCCCTTGCTCTCTGCAGCCATGTGAGCTCCTCACTTTGCAGGAGCACCACTGTCTCATGAGAGGCTTCTGCAAGTGAGGGGAATGTAACACTTTGATTTGCTCCTAATAACTAGCAAAGGAAAAGATACAGATATATTTTTAAGCAGTACCTTAAGCAAGGAAAAAAGCTATGTATTTGGTCAGTGTTCAGCAGGGGGCTTTCTAATGAAAAAAGGTACCATTTCAGAGATCATATGATGTTCAAAGCTGCTATTCCCACTCAGATAATAACGAGCAAGGTCAGCCTCTGCTGGTCAGGTTCAGTGTTTTGAAATTACATTTTGGGCTGTGAGGTTTCCCTCTGACATCCCAACCAACCGGTCTGCACAGAGCACACAAGCCACTACAGAAAGTTGCAGCTGCAATTAGCTGGTGAGTTGACACAGCAGGCAAGGCGTGAAACAAAATTTCAAAAACTGCCAAACTTGATCAGCAAGGGCTCCTCGAACGCTTGCCATGTCATTTCCAAGCAACAAGAGAGAACCATCTCAGAAGCTTAACCCTTTTCACGGTCAGAGGCTTGCACAGAGAGGACACAGCCAACACCAAGCCCTGCTTTCCTCCTCCTGCCTCCCCCTTCCAGCAGACCTGAAGCAGCCTGGGCTCTGCAGGCAGAAACCACCTGCAGAACTGCTCTCTTTGGTAATTTCCCCACTGCAAGACTGGGATGCTGCTTCATTTCTCTATGTCCGTTTTCCCCCAGTACTTGCCTAAAAATGCCATGATACCCAGTTCGATTTGATAAAGGGCATGTGGTGTCTAACTGGGGCTGTCAAGAAACAAAGGGGTCACCTTTGACAAATTCCACATGTGCTCTGTGGACAAGGATAAGAAAATAAGAAGTTGTGTTGCAAAACAAGAAAAATTAACAGCTGGACGCTCACATATTCAAATATGTGATCACAAGGGAACACTGATTATTGCCAAATTCTGAAAGTACCATCAAGTTGCTCTCTCCTTTCCTCTCCTGTTGCTAGACATCCAGTGCTCTCTTTTCTTAGAAACAGTAGATGAATCCTTTCTATTTCTGGCTACCTACACTCCCTTCTTTGCCCTTTACAACTTAATAGACTTGCTGCTGGTAAATACAAAACTAAACCCACTCTGAGTGCTCAGAGCTCCAATACACATTAAAAAATTATAGACACCACCTCTGGACATACTGAAATTTATGTCTGTGTCTAAAGAGGCTGTTATTGTAGTGAGTAATCCAAACTTTACCACTATTCACAGCCGGACAAACAAGCTTTAATCAGCCTGTATCTGCTCAGTTGGAGTCTTTCTGTAAAACGATTCTGCTGGCTTTATAACACAAGTGTCCACTAAGTACACCTCTAAATTTTTCTAAGCCATTTTACTGATATTTCTATTCACATGGCAATCAGCTGCGGTTCCTCTAAGGGCACTTCTCATAAAGCCTCCTTTCCAAGAGAGCCTGGGAACTTTTCATAAATGGCAGACCTTTTAAATAACAGTTATCTGCACTGGTCCTACGGCACACGGCTCCACAGTGCTCTGGTCTGCAACAGAGCTAGAGGTCCCCTCTGAAAGCAGGCAAGTTCACCACCTAATTTCTCTAATGCAACTCTAAAGGTTAATTGGTCTGAAAGAGTAATGGGGGACTGCTAGCTAATGATATATGCCTCAAGGCTTTGCAGCTTGCCTGTATTTTATACAGTCGAGTCCAGAGCATAAAACACAGGTGATACCACCAGGACTTTTCAGACCCCCCTCCACTGCAGCTTTGCCCCCTCAAGCCCTCAAGAGTGGGGAGGAGGCAGCGGGGGCTGCAGGCAGCTCTGTTCCACCTGCATTTCACACCTTATTACAGGGGGGCTCGGGGAAAGTGCTGCACTCCTCATTACCACTGCGGAGAACTAAAAAACAACCCTAATGAGCAGAGCCAGAGCGTACAGTACGGGCTGGGAGGAGGGATGTCCTCCCACTCTCCCCAAGGAATCCGGCCAAAATCTTCAATTTGCCACTTATGACAGCTAATTAGTTATTCTATTCAAAATCTTTGCTTTAAATAAAAGAACTAATTATACACAAAGGTCAGTCCCCCACCTCCTGTGAAGCACACATAATTGGCTTATTTCCCCAACATTGTGTGTATGTTTTACACAATGCTTTCAAGCAGATGGCTTTAACTCTTTCCCTCGGCAAGTTTTTTTGGTGTTGGCTTTTTTTTTTTGTTGTTGGGGCTTTTGTTTGTTTGTTTATGTTTGTTTTGGCGGGGTTTTCTGGTTGCTGTTATTTTGTTTGCCTTCTTTTAAAACCCCAAAACTTTTCCTCTGAGTAGCTACTTTAAGAGTAAAAGCTTGCTCAATAACAAAGCCAATAACTATGCACACACACACACACACAATACTTTCCAAAAGGTTTGTGACAATCAC